CACAGAATCTCAAAATCATGACATAAAAATATAAACACTTGAAAAGTGTTCTTACTCTGGAATTACTCTTACTCAGATTCTTACTCTGGAATCTGATCTCCACAATTATAAGAGAAAAGTCATCTTGCCTGTGGGTCTTGGATCACAGTGTAACATAACTTTCTGGCAGATTATTGGGTTTAAAATTTCCTTGACCTTATTATTCTATAGACTACAGAGAGTGAACAAATGAATCAGTATACTCTGCTCCTAAATCTGCTTTTTCTCTAGTATTTTTATAAGATTTTAAAGAGACCAGAGAGAACAGTTTTTAGGGTCTTTTTTTTCCCCTCCAGGGTGATCTCCCTGTTATATAATTTCTGACTAAAGACCCAAATGTGTAAGAGAGGTTTTTCTACTGAGCAAGTAGAAAACAGTTGCACACCCTACAGTCCCTGTTCTATAACTACCATGCATCTATAACAAAATTTGATTGAAGTGTCTTTATTTGGTCGATCTAGAATGTATATTTTAGTGAATTACTACTGTATATGCCAGAGGTGAGGAATTCCAGCCTGTGAGCCAGATACAGTTCATCATAGTTAGATGCTGGAGGGCTGCCAGGTAGTTTATATACCTGAGCGTTTTACACGCATGGCTGCCACAGCTCCCATTGGCTGTGAGTTGTTGTCCCTGGCCAATCGGAGCTGTGAGAAGCAGCGGCCTAGCCTCTGCTGCTTCCAACTGGTATGTGATTGACTTCAAGGTTACCATTTCATCTAGTTCAACCATTGTATTATAGATGAAGGTCTTTAGGAATACCAGTGAGATAGTTGCAGCTGCCCTTTTAGGTTAGGTAGAACAATTTTTGAAATGACGTGGGTAAAATTCATGCTGTCATGTGCACATGATGATTTGCCTATGGGTATATCTACGCTGCATGTTGCTTATGGAAGCATGGGGGTGTCTAGACTACAGGGTTTTGTTTTTTTAAAAGTGGCCTTTTTTTGAAAAAACTATACCTGTGACAGAATGCGGCGGTTTTGTCAACGGCAGTAAACCTCATTCTACCAGGAATATCGCCTTTTTTCGAAAGTCATCTTTCGAAAAAAGGCACAATTGCATGAAAACAGGGCTTTTTCGAAAGAGAGCACCTACACTCTCTTTGGAAAAGGTGAGATGCTTTTTCAAAAAATTTTCTTGTTGCCTAGATGCTCTTTTTCGACAGAGGCTTTTTCGAAAGATACTGTCGAAAAAGCCTCTGTCGAAAAAGGTGTGCAATCTAGACGTAGCCCAAGTGAGTACATATACTATATGCTTCCTAGCGAGGGTATAAATAGCAGTGTAGATGGTGAGGCACTGCTTATGTGTGTAATGACACACCTGTATCCTGGGGTACCTAGCCTACCCAGACCACATTTGGCCCCACAAATAACATGGGCAGGTGGGGCAAGTTGCCAGAGCCTGTGTGTAGCCTGGGGAAATAACAGGGTGCCTGGCAACCACAGCAGGGGTAGGGCCTCCTGCTTTCACTGGCAGTGGTGGGGAAAGCAGAACAATTCAGCTTGGCTCCCCTGGCTGCTGGACACGTCATTGGGGGAGCAGCAAGATTACCCCTCTTGCACTCGCTGGTGAGAAGCAGAGTGACACGGCCAGCAGCGGACGGAGTAGAGCGGCTGTGACTGCGTCATTCCACTTCCCTGGCCCCCACTGCTGCCAATGAGTGTGTGATGGGGGGTGATCTGTCTGCTGGTGCTAGGCCCCTGCTAGTGGTGTTTCTGGGAGTGACTTGGGGGAAGAGGTGCTGCAAGGCTCGGAAGAGGCAGGGAGAGGGTGGAGCAGAAACAGTAGGAGCAGGTTCTGTAATGGGGGAATTGTCCTGACCGTCCCCCAGGCTAGGGTTGGCGCGAGGAGTCATGTGGGGGATAGCCAATCACGTGGCTTGTGCCCTCACCCTCTCATGTTTTTCCTCACCTGTAGCTTCTGCCCCCTGGCTTGAAGTGGTTTCCATCTCATGCAGGATTTACAGTTTGGTTCAATGTCTCTCACCACCCCATTGTATGAATTGTTTTCCCCCACCCTGCCCCATACAAGGCTCTCTGCATGTCCAAGCAGTGCTTCTCCCCTCTGCATTGCTGTTTTTAACAATGCTGTGTTCCGCTGCCACCCTGCTGCTGGAGGCAGCTGCTTCCCCTTTCAGAGCCTTTTACTGCTATGCATAGCTACATACCACAGTGTGGCTGCAGTTTACTTTTCATGGCTTGGTGTGGCTACGCTTACCCTATATACTATCACAAAAGGTGTGTGGTGTAGAGGTAGCCTATGAGTAGAGACCTTTTTTGGTCAGTATTTATTGCTTGCTACTGATACTGATAAAAAAGGCATAAATTAGTGTGGAAAAAGTCTAGTTTCTGATCAGTTAATGTTGAAATTTGGATTAGTCCCTTTCGCATACAATTTTATTCTGAAGAATGGAGGGGAAATGGTGAGGAACCAGAGTGATACCAATCCCAAAGTGGTTACTGACATGCTGCTGTGTGCTACCCAAGGTGCAATAGGGCAGACAGAGGCATGGCTTTGTGACCTGTCATTCTACAGAGCTAGTGTGTGGTGTGCTGGGAATTAAGCGACATTTTGAGGGTGGCTATAAATTATCCCACTCCTCACTCCATCTCACCGTAGGGTAGCAAAGCAGGGGAAGAACTGTGAATCTTTGAATCATAAACTCTCCCAGGGCTAGTCAGAGGGCCTACATATTATGCATTGCACCTCACACAGAGTTGTTCCTAAAGTCAGTGTTTAACTGAAAGACAATGGATTCATTACTGGGGTCTCATTGCCCAGGTCTACACTTCAGATAAGATTGAATCAATCTTCCTGGGTTTGAATTAGTGGGTCTAGTGAAGACATGCTAATTCGAACTGAGAAGGGGCTCCCATCGATGCAGGTAGTCCCTACTCTACGAGGAGTAAAGGAAGTCGGAGGGAGAATGTGGATGGCACTAAAATTCAAGTTAAAATACTTGGACTTTAGCTACACAAATAACATAGCTGAAGTTGCATATCTTAATTTGAACTTACCTGCTAGTGTAGACCAGGGGATCCTGTTATAAGTGACTGTGAATCTATGCATTTTTCTTCAGTTTTACGTTCTTTAGTAATTTTACACAGTTGTCATATAGCACACATACAGCTAAATAGATATGAATACTTTTATGTGTGAGTTCTGTAATTTAAGTAGTTTGATTTTAGGAAATGATAAAAAATAATTTGTAATTACATTTTCCTCAATACCGATTTCCTTTTGGCCTTTAATATTTGCTATTTAACATTTCTCAGGGGGATGTTTTTGGTTTTGTTTTCCTTTGCTTGTGGTTTCTGTCAAGTGTATGATTTAAATTGGTGACTATTCATTAGGAATAGAGCCCTGGACTTTAATGAAGAAAATAATAAGACTGGTTGTGGAACTGACCAGGAACTGAATAGAGCAGTTCACTCTAAGTCATTTGTATGTACTGCATGCGATTGTGCAGTATGATATCTAAAAGCATAACAGTTTGAATTGTTAGAACAATTTCATAAGTGGCATGTCCTGATTCAAGCAAGCAGTAATGACAATGTATAAAGAAAAACAAGAACAAGCTTTTTTGTTATTAAATTCTGACTTAGAGAACTGTCACTCCTTTTTGTGCTCATGCCCTGAGAGCTGTCATTCTTCACACAAATCTTGAGGCTCTGAGAAACTTTAGGGTGAACTGAAGTGTAAAAAGTTATATAATTGATATTCTACAATTCTGAAATTGAGATACTAGAGAAGGGCTATATGTTTATGTTCATTTGTTTTATACTGACAGATATATTGTTTCTGAGTAAAGCGGACAAACTATTTACATAGAAAGGCCCGGTAGGATTCTGTCTAATACCATAATGGCTAGTTGTGTGGATTTTTGTTTGTTTGGCATAAAGATGAAGGCTGAATACTTTCAATAACTCTTTGGCTATGTCTAACCTGGCCCCTTTTCCGGAAGAGGCATGCAAAGCAAGCAAGTCAGAATAGGGAAATCCGCGGGGGATTTAAATATCCCCCGTGGGATTTAAATAACCATGGCCGCCGCTTTTTTTCCAGCTTGGGGAAAAGCCGGAAAAGAGCGTCTAGACTGGCGCGATCCTCCGGAATAAAGCCCTTTTCTGGAGGATCTCTTATTCCTACTTGCAAGTATGAGCTGCTGATATTGACACTCTGCACAGTGTCTTCATTGTATTTCACAGCAGTTCTTTTATAGTTGATTTATTGTACTTGTACAACATATAAGTAATTTTCTTTCTGTTAACAGATTTTGTTTCTATAATATTTAGATTGTACACTATTTAGGCTTCTTTTCTCCTGTGTCTGGAAAGCACCAAGAATATGTGGTGCTACTGTGGTATAAAAAAAAATGTTAGGACTCATATATTAGATGTTGAGCACCTTCCATGCCTATTGACAATTTAAGTCTCATATCTATCTCACTCAGTTTCCTCTGTTATGTTCTGTGCAGCTGAATTGCAATAAGCGTATTAACTTCCGTATTCTGAGAAGGAGCTGAGGATTCTAGGGCTGGGAGTTCTGTTTAGTGGCAACCAATATGTGATTTACAAGTGCATTAACTTTTCAACTCTCGATCACCTTTCATCAGAAACAGTTAATGAAGAGAGCAGGAGACTTCCACTTGAACTTGGAGTCTTGTCAGGTTTAGGGATTGCAAAGAGAATACTTGTACATTTCCATATACTTATGTCCTCATTAAACTAGTGCAGAATACGTGTTTTAAAAACGATAATCTTTCTAATTTACTTCTATTTCTTAACGTAAAGGATTAAGAGTGACTGAGAAATTATGGATATCTTTCTGATTTACTAATGCACAAGAAACATGTATATTAATTATACCATTTGGAGTTTATAATTGAAATTAGGGTATTACACCGAAGAGTGAGCAGCTATGAAGTTAGATTATTTGAATGTATTATTTGTATTTTCCAGGTCAAGTTAATGCCTCCAGCACCAAATGATGACTTGTCTACTCTGAGTGAGCTAACAGACAGCAGCCTTCTCTATGAGATTCAGAAACGTTTCAGTAACAATCAGATATATGTAAGTGGCTTTGAAACTGCTTTCTCCACTGTTTTTATTCACTTACCTACAGTCAACTTTTAAGTTGATGAGCAATTAAAGAAAATAGAATTGGACTTTTATTAATTCCAGCTAAACAGAATTGCCAGACACTAGAATGACAAGTATTGCTGACCAATATTAAGTTGAGTGTAGGAGTATGTGTATGTTAAATCTACAATAATCAAATTTTTAATTGTAAAATTAGGGGAAAAAGACAATGAATACGCACAGGTAAGCCTGTGTATATGTATATTTTCCATAAAATATGTACTGATAAAATGTGATAGGAGGATGTTAACTCTTTCCACCTAAACTACAGGTTGAACCTCTCTAGTCCAGAACTTAGTGATCTGGGAATATCTGTCATCCGGAATGATTTTAATTAGCTGGATGTCCACTTTTCATGTTTGTGGCCAACTTTCTCAAGGTCCCTTGAAGTTTATTAATAACCACAATCCTAGATCTCAGTGTCCTGTGCTGTTATTTACCTTTAATTTATCCCTAAATGTCCTCTAACAGCACAGTAAGCTGTGAAAGTGTTGGTAATGCTGCTAGACAATATTGACCTCCCATGGTCTGGAAACTTCTCTGGTTTGGAACTGATCAAGTTCCCAGGGTGCCAAACTACATATATTCAACCTGTACCAAGAGATTTCTGTCTTTAACTTTATGTAAGCATTTTCATTCAGGTTTCTGATTACAATAACTGGAATGGAATAAAAATCAGTATATAACATTTGATTCCCTATTACTTTGTTCCTGTAATTTTACATGAATAATTCTCTTGATATTGTTATGTTAATGATTTACAAACACTACAATAATTACTAGATGATTTACATGCAATAGATTTTCCTGTTCTTGCCATGTTAAACAGAGGGAGAATCCAGTCAGGCGTAGATTATTTCAAAAGTAAAAACTACATGGTCATTGCTATGTACCCTTTTTTTAGCTATTGAACAGCTGATTAGGTAATTTGTATGTAAATGTTAAATGTGTGAATCTGCCTTAATATAATGAATTAACAGAGTGTGGTTAGACAAGCAAAATGCAGATTCACAAACAACAAGCAACTGTCACAAACAACAAACTACTGTAAAATCATCTGAAATTAAATACAGGAGCTACATTATGAGTACTATGATAGTGCTATGACAATGCTGTTTGGATGTAAAGACTATATTTATGTTCATACCTTTTTATTTTCTGTGTAGCCTCCATTTTATGTAATTTTCAGAGGTACTGAGCATGCACAAATCTGACTTAAGTCAATGGGAGTTACAGATGCTCAGCATCTATGAAAATCAGGGCTGAGTGTTCGTTTACTCTTCACCTGACATCTCATTCTCAGGATTGACCTGGGGTTCTCAGGCCTCCCCACTCTTGTTTCTCATTCTGGCCTAATTAAATATTTTGGGTTTGTTCCAGAGCACACTAGTCTTCTCAGAACCCTTGATCAGTGCTCTTCTGGTTGACTGATTGACAGCAGCTGTTTGTGCAATGAGTGGCTATCCCCATCAGAACTGGAAAAAAACCAACAACCTCTCATCCATTATTTCCTGGGGTTCCACCATCTTAGAAGGAAAAAACACCCTAGAGGCCATTTACAAACCTAGATCGTCTTCACCACAGCACACATACTACCATGCTCTCTGAACCTGTTTCTGAGAGTCATAAACTATATCTGCCTTATCCAAAAGAGGATCTAAATGGGGCTTCATTCTGAGAGCGGGAGGTTTTATTGTATATCTCCTCCTCAAGGTGGAGTAGGGTGGAGCGGATGGGCAGATGGGTAGATTTTATTTTATTGTTGCAACACGGAAGTCCCATCTGTGATTGCTGCTCAGAGGATATGCTAACTCAGCATAGTCTCTGCTCCCAGGTCAGTGCTGCCTACTTTTGTGTTTGATAGATGCTTTATACACTCCTATGCATGACACAGGGGCATGTCTACACTAAGAAATATTTCAAAATTACTAAAATCAACATAATAACGCCCCATTTAACAAAATCAAAATAATGCGTCCCCGCTACAGGGAAGCAGATTAGTTAGAATAAGTCTGAAATGGTGCATCCACACTGATTGGAGCCTGCTTTGGACTTAGGGCACCAGTAGGGTGGATACTTCCAGTGGCTGCTTGGTCAGACAAGCTGTGACACATGCTTTCTAGGGCTTCTCTCTATGGCTGTGTCCCACAAACCACTCCATCACCGCCTCGTGGGACACAAAAGTGATGCAGTGGGCACGTGCCTTCTTGTGCTCTAATTGCTCTTGCAGATGGCACAGCTCTCGTACCATGGAGCCAAAGCTCCTGCAAAGCAGTGCCAGGCTCAAGGGCCTTGTGCTGCGCCTAATGGTGCAGTACTACCAAACTGCCCACATGTTGCTCCAGTGGGACCAGGACCAGGACCTGCAGAATGAACCTCACGTGGACTGCAGATCCTTCTCACTCATGTACTGGCACTTCTGCTGATGCACAGGCACTTCAATCCCCTAGACGCCACTTCTGGCACTTGGAGACGAGCTCGGACAGGTGGGACCTCATTGTCCTGCAGGGATGGGACGACCAGAAGTGGCTACAGAACTTCTACATGCAGAAGGCTACTTTCCTCAAGCTCTCTGTGTGGCTCATTCCTACCCTTAACTGACAGGACACCCACATGAAAATAAACAATTATATAGATATATATCATCTCTGTATTTAGTTTTAGTTCAGAATGCTTTATTTTTGTATAATATATACAGGGCTCAACAAACTATAGAATCTACTTGCCTATGGCGAGTAGATTTCAGCCGTGCGCCCTGTTTACCGGCGGTGCGTGCATGCGCAATGCGGCTCTTGCACATGCGCAGTGCGGGACTGGCAAGTGGCTTTCGCCGCCGCTTGTCAAGCCTTGAATATATATATATAATACAAAAATAAAGCATTCTGAACTAAAACGAAATGCAGAGATTGTAGTGCTGTATAAAACACAGAACACAACATGGTCCTTTTTACCAGGAGAAAACACAAAACACACAAGACACTATAGTAGAGGAATATTCTTTTTTAGGCCTTTTGTTTGTTTTCTTTGTCTTATTAGTGTTTTCTTTTTGTTTGCTTTGTTTTATTTTGCTACTTTGTTTTAATCACCACATGTGAAGCATTTTTCTTTAATTAAGCCAGTGTTTGTGGACAGAATGTTTTAAAAGCACAATAATAACAGAATTATTTAATTAAGAACATGTTGAGAAAACTTATTTCTGGTCTACTACAATGTAAATCCAACAAAAGAAGTTCACATTACTTTTAGCATGTGAGGGGTATATCTACACTGCACATCTATTTCGGGATACCAGAGGTATCCCAAAATAGCAACCCCACGTCTACACAAGCTGCTCATTATTTCAAAATATTTTTCGAAATAATGGATGTGCTATTTTGCTATCCCTGTAAACCTTGTTGCAATAGGGATAAGGGATGTGTTTCTTACTTAGAGTTTAGGGTGCTGTGTAGATGCACCCTGTGAAAAAATGTACTAAACTTTAGTTTTCCTCAACAACCACAGCTATCATGTCAATCATCAGTTTGACAAAGCACCTCACAGTTTTACAATTATATAAACCAATTAGAAGAACACTTGACACCAAACAATTCTTCAATTTTCATTTTTATTTTTCTATAGTGCTTAGTGTTAAAACAATAATTGGGGACAATATGGCTATGTCTACATTGGCCCCTTTTCCGGAAGGGGCATGCTAATTTTTCAGATCGTAATAGGGAAATAAAAATAGGGAAATAAAAATGTCCGCCGCTTTTTTCCAGCTTTTAGAAAAGCCGGAAAAGAGCGTCTACACTGGCCCCGATCCTCCGGAAATAAGCCCTTTTCCGGAGGATCTCTTATTCCTACTTTGAATAAGGAATGAGAGATCCTCCGGAAAAGGGCTTTTTTCCGGAGGATCGGGGCCAGTGTAGACGCTCTTTTCCGGCTTTTCTAAAAGCCGGAAAAAAGCGGCGGACATTTTTATTTAAATGCCGCGGGGGATATTTAAATCCCCCGCGGATTTCCCTATTACGATCTGAAAAATTAGCATGCCCCTTCTGGAAAAGGGGCCAATGTAGACGAGCCCGCAGGTGTTTCAGTTGTCTTGCTGTTAGGTTTTTAGTAGTAGTAGTAGTAGTAGTAGTAGTAGTAGTAGAAACTACTCTTCAACTCTTCTCATATATGAACAAGGTTAAAAATGAAATACTATTATAGGAAATCAGTGGTCCCAGATTCCATGTGCTAGGCAATTTTTAATAAATAAAATCTGGGATAGAGATGGGTGGGAAATGTGGCTTAAAGTCACCTTTATATATTCTTGTTCCTGAGACCATCCCATCACTGGACTGCTCTCTAGTACAGGCTAGAGTATCCTTTACTGCTGCTTGTGGCCTCAAAGAGCTGATATGGTAATCCATTAAACAAACAACCTGACCATACCTCCTTTGCCAGGAATTGTGTGGAGATATGTGGACACATTAGTTCTAGTCCATTGAGAGGTGAGTAGAAAGTAAGGCACCAAACAGTCAGGATATACTAGAGAATGTATCTTAATACATTCATGTAGTAGTGTGTGTTCTAATGTTGCAGGTGTAATCCTGGCCCTTTTTAGACAATGGGAATTTTGTTTTTGCCTTCAGTGGAACCAGTATTCTGAATTTTATTCATAGATGTAAAGTTTGTACTATAATTATGTAGTTTGTTGTCTCTTATCCTAGTAACAGCTTTTTAAATACCCATTGGCTACGTCTACACTGGCATGAATTTCCGAAAATGCTTTTAACGGAAAAGTTTTAACAGAAAAGCACTTTCTGCGGAAAAGCATCCGTGGCCAATCTAGACGCGGTTTTCTGCAAAAAAGCCCCCGATCGCCATTTTCGTGATCGGGGCTTTTTTTCGGAAAACAGAACTATGCTGTCTACACTGGCCCTTTCACGCAAAAGCCTTTTGGAAAAAGACTTTTGCCCAAATGGGAGCAACATAATTTTTCCGGAACAGCACTGATGATTTTACAGGAGATCGTCAGTGCTTTTCCGGAAATTCAAGTGGCCAGTGTAGACAGCTGGCAAGTTTTTCCAGTTGGAAATTCGGAAATTCATGCCAGTTTTGCCAGTCTAGACACAGCCATTCAGTTTATCTAACTCTGCTAGCATTACTAATCTGGTTTATCCTGCGATAAGGTGATGGGTTGTGTGGTACAAACTTCATTCATTTTGCTAAGTTTAAAAAAATGGTGAATTACACATATTCACCATTACAATAAGTAATCTTAGAATAATATGTGCAATTCAATTCTTTTGTTAGTCATTTTACCTTACGAAGCACTTAGTGTTAATTACTAAAGGAATGAATTGTAAATTTGGATCTTAGTTTTTAAGAGCAAGAATTTAAAAGGCTCTGGAATGTGAAAGTATGAACTTATAATTCATTTCTTTATCTGGACTTAAAGTGCTTTTCTGGAAGAAATTCATTGACTTCCTGAAAGATCTAATTTATCACTTAATAAAACACTTTTATATTTTTTCCAGACCTATGTTGGAGATATACTGTTGCTTGTGAATCCATTTAAAGAACTTCCAATTTATTCCACTATGGTAAGCATTTTTTTCTAAAAATGTTATAATGTAGATTTACTTCAGTGGAGTTTCGTCCATATCGAATATCTGGAATCCTAAGTAAATAAGAAATGCCTCTGTTCTTTTCATATTAGAAACATCTTGTTTTAATTTTGTGTTAGTAGTAATAACTTTAATTTTGCCTAAGGAACAAGTATCTCCTTCAGGCCATAAATGTTTTTAATTTGTTTTATTATGTTGCCTATTACTTTGTTCTTCTTGAGTGCTACTAGTGTGAAATAGCAATCATGCTAGACGTGGCAACTAGCAGAACAATACTTCTTTCATACATTGTTTAAGTACCAAGAAAAAAAAGGTACTTAAAAGCAATGGCTCAATGGGGCCTGGTCAAAACTCTTGTTTTACTAATTTTATGACATCCAATCAACTTATATATATACTGTCTGCCATTTCAGTATCAAAACATTGGTACACTGCAATGTGGGCACAACATTAATTCACATTATGTTTTACATGTCATATTTCAGATTAGCCCAGTCATTTGAGATTGCCAGTGTGAAGTATCAATGTTAGCATTCAATAATGAAAAGTGAATTATTAATCAGGAATCCGACCTTGCAATATTTAACAGATGAGTTCAATGGGACTAGTCATGTATGTTAAGTTCTTGAAGGACTGAGTCAGTGATTTGTAGCTTGTTGAAATATTCTGCTATTCATGACAAAAAGAAACAGCGAATATATACAAATATTCACTTTCTAGACTATGTAAGTATGTCTGTGTTATCTCATATAGAGAGCTCGTTACTGAATAACAATAATAGTTACTTCAGGGTCAGCATTTTTTAAATGAGCCAAACTATAGATATTTACAAACCAATTTTGCTGAAGGCTATGATTCTAATTAATTAACTGACCTTAAATGTCAGGTCCGTCTTAGAGGAATGTAGGCTTACAGTAGGATAACTGATTTTTGCCAATGAGAGCATGCTGCTAATAATGTGTATTACAGAAGTGTTTCTAAATTGCAAATAAAGAATTGCTGGGAGCCTGCTGTGTCATATAATAAATTAATTAGCATGTAACCTGATTTCATTGATCTGCCTTATTATTTCAGAGGGCAGCTATGCTATTTGTATTTAATATTTTAAAATCAGGACATTGAAGTATTATCATAGGAAGTATAAATAATATAACTTAATATATTATCTGCTTTTTTAAATTGGACAAATCTGCATAATTAGTCACCATTAGTATAATTAAGTATGAAAATAGTGTATCTTAAATTGAACTTTTGTGATGCCATTGATATATTTATTACTTTGCTTTACAAATAGTTGAAGGTACCCACATAATTTGTTTATAATGCATAGGGAGCCTTAAGAAAACCCCTTATTGAAGAGATGAAACAATATGTGTTTAGAACTTGCTGCTTTTGTTAATGTTCAGTTATGTTTCAGGTCACCCAGCTTTATCTAAGTGACTCTGGCAAACGATGTTCCTCACTTCCCCCACATATATTCTCCTGTGCTGAAAGGGCTTACCACATGCTTTTCCAGGAGCGACGTCCTCAATGCTTTATTCTCAGGTGAAAATCTGTCTTTTTATTGAGTGATGTATAACTCACGCCTTTGAAATGTTTCCCTATGGACTCTGCAGACAAGGTTTCCTTTCTTTTTTTCCCCTCCAATTGATTTATTCTTATTTACTCATCTCCCTCATATACTGCAACATAATGGTGTGAAAGGAGATATTTAATTTAACATAAGCATTATTCATTTTGTTGGGAAAATGTCAGCTTCATTCATTTGCATCTTTAATAACAAAGATTTGTTCACAATCCAAATTTTTTTTAAAATTTTAACAATCTGAATCTGAGGCTACATCTACACTGTAGGCTTCTTGCGCACTGCAAAAAGCGCATCGGAAAAGCGTGAGCTTTTGCGCAAGAGAGCATCCAGGCTGCATGAACACTTTCTCACAAGAAAGCTCTGATTGCCATTAGCAGAATGGTCACCAGGGTTCCTGTGCGTCTTTCAATAGGCTGTTTTTGTGCAAAAAAACCCTACTGCCCGTCCACACACACCTTTTTGCGCAATAACTCTTGTGCAAAAATGAGTTATTCCTCGTAGAAAGAGTAATCTCTACACAGCAACCCCCCCCCCATTCTGTACATTTTCTTGCACAAAACCACGCTTGAGGTGTGGACGCTTCATGAGTTTTTGTGCAAAAACTCTGCAGTATAGACGGCACCTGAGAAAGGATTGTCCAATGGGTCAGATGTAGCTTAGGACTTGGGTTGGGAGACATGAGCAGGAGTGGCAACAGACTTTGCCAGGCCCTGGGCAAGGTGAAGGGGTGGGCAACTCCAGGCCCCATGAAGGGGCAGGGTCTTGGGCAGAAAGGGTGGGGTCGTGGCTCTAGGATCCCACAGCCAGCCCTCAGGCCTCCCAGACCACTCTGCATGGGGCTCTGTTGGTGATTTAAAGAGTCCAGAGTCTGTCTGCTGCTGCTGCAGCCATGGTAGCTGCTTGGAGCTTTGGCCCTTTTAAATTGCCAGGCCGTGGGGAAGCTGACCCCTCTGCTCCTCACCATCAGCAACCCAGGACACGAGTTAAAGTCCCTGCTCCACCACAGACTTCTTGGGTGACTGAGCAAGTTTGTTCTGTGCCTCAGTTCCCCATCTTTAAAAGGGGGATAGAAGTAATTTTAAGGGGTTTATAGTGATGATAAATACTTTATAGGTTCTGGGGCTGTCTTCTACTATGATACTAGGGGGCATGTAAATACCTACATTCGATAGAACTAGCTAATTAAACTATCTCATGGTTATGCAAGTTGAGGTAAGTGGATAGACATAAACACACGTCTCTTAATTGTATTTCCCTGTTATCTCTAATCTTACACTTAGGCTACCATCTACACTGTTTGTTTTTTGCAGAAGAGGCAATGCAAATGAAGCACTTATTAGCAAATCTCGCGCTCTCGTTTGCATGGTCTCTTCCTATCCTTTTTGCAGAAGAGGTTTTTGCAAAAAAACCTGCAGTGTACACGGGGCCATTTTTTGAGAAAAAACCCTTTTGTCCAAGATCTTATTCCTCAAAAAATGAGGTTTACAGAATCTTGCAGTGTGATGTCACTTTCTCTCCACTTCTGTTCTGTTTCCTCCCCTCTTTCTTGTTCCTACTTCCCTTTATCTGTTTTCTTTGCCCACTCCATCCCTCTAATTATTTGTTTATTCCTGTCCATGTGCAAGGAAAGAAATTAAACAAAATTCATAATCTTTGAATTCTGAGTATGCAGCACTTCAGAGTTTGGGGAGCTTGTAAATTTTACTCTGCATCTTCCAAACAGAGAAGCCTAACACAGCAAAAGGAAAATTGCTGACATGCCGAAGTGCCATTTGTCAGCCAACTTTGCTATCTTTTCATTCTCTTTCTCTGCCATTCCTCATTCTCTTTGTAATTTTCCATCTCTTTCTCTTCTTCTCATCTTTGCCACTCCTATCACTCAAACAGAAAGCACCAGATAACTTAGAGTTGGTATGACCTCTTTCTTTTTTGGGCTCATTAAAAGGAAAAGTTACGGCATTGCTATCAGGGCACTACAAAGCATAACAATTATAACTTTTGACTGCCTCTGTGCTAATCTGGGGACAACCTGTGGTTGTGCAAAATCATAGATTATAAACCAGTTTGTCTTTTATGTTGTTTTCATGATTATTTAATAGATTATTTAATCATGATTATTTAATAATAATTTATTTCCTAATAATCCCTCAATTAGGTATTAACATTTGTCTTGAGTATCCACTCCATTAGGAATAAAAAGGCTGTAAATAATGTAAAGTATAAAATGGTGACACAAAAAATTAAACAGTGGCCTTTTTCTCCCTTCTCTCCTTTCTGCAGTGGAGAAAGTGGTTCTGGGAAAACTGAAGCTTGCAAACAAATAGTGAAGCATCTGACATGTAGATCCAGTTCCAGCAGGTGTACCTTTGATTCAAAGATAAAACATGTAAGTAGCATTTTGAGCTGTTTCAGAACTTGGCATGGATATGTGTTTTGGCCAAGGAAAGATATTTTTATTTAGAGGGAAATTATGAATTCCGCAGGCACGCTGACATAAGGCTTGATTCTGCCCTAGATCTTGAAATATTTTACGTGTTTTTCATAAAACAGAAGAAAGGTTTCTTGTGGTTTAGCATATTCCAGTCAATGGGATTTTTTTCCATTCACTTGAATGGGAACAGGATCAAAACCACGTTGTGCTGAAGAGATTGGGCTAAATTGGGGAAACTAGCTTTGTTGATACTTTTTTTGGTCATTTTGATTTTCATCCTTGCTTCTAAGTATAGGAAACATTTATGGTACAGTATTTACCCTTAAAAATATTCCAGTTGATTTTGATAACTATGTAGTTTTATGTCTGTGTTTGTGGTATTCCTTATATGTATGATGTTGGCGCAGTGTTGGTCCCACGGAGACTATGTCTAGAAAGCAGAGTTTTATGGGAAAAAGATAAGCAAATTGCACTTTTGTGCTTTTTTTTTTTTTTGGAAGAGGCTTTTCTGAAATTTGGTCCATCTAATTTTGGAAAGATTTTTGGAAAAACCTTCTCTTTTGGACAGGGGTGTCCAAACTTTTTTCAAAGAGGGCCAGATTTGATGAAGTGAACCGGAACACGGGCCGCAATTGGCCCGCGGGCCGGACTTTGGACATGCCTGCTTTTGGAGCATCCCTTATTCCTCTCACCAAGAGGAATACGGGGATGCCGAAAGAATGGATCTGCTTTTTTTTTCCGAAAAAGCGGGCGCGTTCCCTGGACGCAGCAGAGCTTTTCCGGTATCCTGGAAGAACTTTGCAGTCTACACATAGCTTGACAGACAGTGTGGGTGAGGTTATATGTCTTATTGGAACAACTTATTTTGGTGAAAGACAAGTTTTTGAGATTCCTCACCCCTCTTTTCTCTGTTGGTGTTCCTTAAGGTGAGTACAAAAAATGCTGTAATTTCTGGAGTAAACTCCTAGGAGGAAAAATGGGAAAGGTTTAAAAGAAATCACTATGTCTCAATGATACATAAGATACTCTCATTCCTTTTCTCTAAGGCTATGTCTAGACTACGGGGTTTTTGCGGGATATGCTAGGTATCCTGCAAAAACCCTGCGCGTCCAAAGAACACGTTTGCTCTTCCGCTTTTTTTTGCAGAAGAGCAAATGTGCTCTTTAGGGGAGCCCTGTATACCTCGTTTCATGAGGTATACGGGTGCCACCGAAAGAGGAGGTTTTTCCACCATTTGGCCCCATCTAGACAGGGCTAAATGGTGGAAAAGCCTCTTCCCAAAAAAAGTGCAAAAAGCTATACAAAATGTGGAGTGCATTTTGCGTAGCTTTTTCCACAAAAATGCTGCAGTCTAGACCTAGTCTAAGGGTACGTCTACACAGCAACATTATTTTCAAATAACTAGCATTATTTTGAAATAACTTACAGCAGTCCGTGTCTACACAGCAGGCAGTTATTTTGAAATAATGTCAAAATACTGGCAAGCTGGAGGACTTCTTACTCCAACTCCTGTAACCCTCGTTATATGAGGAGTAAAGGAAGTCAGAGGAAGAGTGCTTCATTTCAAAATAAGTGCTGTGTAGACTCTCTCAATTTCAAAATAAGCTACACAATTGACATAGCTCAATTTGCATAGCTTATTTAGAGTTAAGCCCTGCTGCGTAGATCCACTATAACAGTCCCTTATTTACAAAAGTATTATTTAAGTTTTTATTTACAAACTATATCAAAACCCCATTAACCTAGATCACTTTAATATAAATCTAATTTATCCCTCTAATAAGACTTGTTTATTACATTTTAAAAAGATGTTATCCATTTATTTTAGCTATAAATTTAGCTAAATGATTTCTATATGTGGTGAGTCATATTTTGCCATTGCACCAAACAGGATTGCAAAAGCTTGCCTTAGGGCAGAGTTAAATGACTCTTCATTTGAAAACTGTAACATAAATGTATAGATATAAGATGTAAAAAATCAATTTAATTTTGTACCAAATTTCCATAACTGGGTCAAATTCAGTCAGGAAACCATGGGAACTAGCTGCTTTTATCCAAAAGCAGAAATCATTTTTGTGACAGTAAATACTAAATAAAAAGTTTTCATTCAGTTGGACAGTGTAATACACTGAGCAATAAAATGTTACAGCAGGAGCACTATGGTTAAGTTTCAGATGAACACTCCACTTAAAATCACTCATTTTTGGACTTTTATAATAGTTTCCTAAATTATCTTTTTATCTGAATGACTCATGCTTGGTCTTATATCCTATATTGGACTCAGCCTACCATATTGACCCATATTATCTCATTGTTTATTTATACTCTCCCATTTGTTTGTCTGTATCTATCCATTATCTCTTCTCTTACACTGTAAATTCTTTTTGCCAGAGACTCTGTTTTTACTGTGCCCTACACATTGGGTTCCTGATCTATGATGAGGGCTCCTATGTGCTATGGGAATACAAATCATAATAGCAATAGTATCTTAGATGTTTTAACCCAATTCATGCAGTCATTTCTGATATCTGTATGTTCTGATTTTTAAAAAACTTTTCACTCTCTCCGTTCCACACCGCCACCACTTAAACTGAACTTAAAATTATCATTTTCTAATTCAAACATGTCATATCCATGATCTTTAATAAAAATGAGATTTTGGCTAATTTTTAGGGAGTTCATTGTAATGGCATTTGAAATTGACACATGGATTATTCAAAACATAATATTTTCTTTCTGCAGTCCAGACAGACAAACTCTGGTAAAAAAAGTCTCAGAGGAGTACCCATGTTAGTCTGTAACTTTAAAAAAAAAAGTGGTCCTGTAGCATCTTAGGGTATGTCTACACTTGTACCCTCTTTCGAGAGAGGGATGCAAATGAAGACATTCAAAATTGCATATGAAGCCAGGATTTAAATATCCCACACTTCATTTGCATATTCACGTTATGGAGCTATTTCGAAATAGCACTATTTTGAAATAACAGATGATGTTAAGACGCGGTTGTTTCGAGAGAAAACTCTTCTCTCAAAATAACTGGTAAACCTCATTGTATGAGGAATAAGGGTTATTTTGAGAGAAGGGTTTTCTCTCAAAATAACCGCATCTTAACAGCGTCTGTTATTTTGAAATAGCGCTATTTTGAAATAGTGCCATAACGTGAATATGCAAATGAAGTGTGGGATATTTAAATCCTGGCTTCATTTGCAATTTTGAATGTCTTCATTTGCATCCTTCTCTTGAAAGATGGTGCAAGTATAAACATACCCTAAGGTGCTAAAGGACCACATGTTGGGTTTTTTTAAACCCTGGAGAAGTAAAACTGACACAAATACACACATAATCCCTTCACAATAGCAATGAGTTAAGAGACTTACTGATGTCTGGTTGGCTATTGGAAAACACAGCTGCATTTATATATTAAATAATTGTGTACTGAAATCTGATTAAGGTGAAATAAGCACAGCTGAATTTACTTCAGATGTCTTACATTCAAACAAAGCCACAGTCTGGAAATTCAAATAGTAAAGTTCCCAGAACAATGTTAACTTTATTGCACTGCACTTATACAACCTAGAGGTCTGGATCACTGTTGATATTTTTGAAAATACATGCTTTAATATAGATGATTAGTGAAACAGTGTTAACATTACAGTGGAACTGTTACTTTCCAGTTTTGTGTGTTTAAATTCTCCTGTGTAATATTGTATTTGTATAATTGTATACAAGTAACAAAGCTTTTGTTCATTATGCTAAATGCAATCAGAATAATAACTCCATAGACTTCAGCGGACCTTCGCTGATTTTCCCCAGCTTGGTCCTGCCCAGAAATCCTTCTCCTGCATTTTAACTCAGTTATGATCTATTCTATGGCTTTTCCTTTCCTAAAGTTCAGATAAAAATAATAAATAGGAAGAACTGGAAGAATCAGAGAACAAATAACTGAGAAAATGATTAGCCTGGACCAGTGGGTAACGATCATCTGATATAGGTGTCAGGATACTTGGATTCTGTACATGACACTGACTTATTCTCTGTCATTGGTTCAACTTCTATCAACACCTGTGCTGGTGCATTACAGATCAGCTAAGATGCTTTCCATAAAAAGTAAATGAATAGATGTGGTAACAGAAGGGTAAATTTGATTTTCATTTTAATTTACTGTTTTTAAGAAGTACTGGTAAGCTTAATTCATATCTGCAGCACCTATGCATAATGCTGGATTAGTCTCATTGGGCCAAATTCATCCTTGACATAATTCTACTAAAGTTACGGACAGATCTAAATTAGTCAATTTTTTGCTGCCATCTACTGGACAAACAGCTAATTAAAATTCTAATATTTCCTGGGAATGATTTTCTATAGTGTTGCACTTTTGTGTAGTAATTTATAGCTATACAGAGTGGGTATAAAAAGCTACCGTATCAGAAACGTAGAGCATTATACCCAACTTTCCCAGGTGCAAATGAAAATGCAAGGTGCAAATTAGTCCACGCCAAAGAGATGGTTTTGATTAGTGGCGAGCAACCTGTGACCAACTGGGGCTCCACCTGCGACCGATAGAAGCCCTTCGCTGTCCCTTCCTCAATGCGCCTCTTGCACACTAGGACATTGGAGTCCCGTACTCCCTATGCCTCCTACCTCCCAGCACTTTCAAAGTGCACACATTGCCTGTTTCAGGCTCTGACCCTACTCCTCCCCCTCCCTCCCAGAGCTGGAAGGCCACAAATCAGCTGAGGGACAGAGTGTGGATCAGGGAATTTGTGCACTCAAAACGTTTTGGGAGGGCGGAGGAGGAACAGTGAGGGGCTCTGGTGCTCAATGCATGAGAGGCTCATGGGAGGAGTGCAGAATGGGGGGGGCATAGGGCCACAGGTAGAACCCTAGCAGGCCCAGAGTGCTGCCGCCCACTGAGGTGAAGGAGGACCACTTATGTGGCCAACCACTAATCGTGGTTGCTCATCCCTGGTCTAAATGATACTTAGTCCTGCCATAAATGTAGGGTACTAGACTAGATGACTTCTCTAAGTTGCTTCTAGTCCTACCATTCTGTGATTCTATGTAATCACCAAAATTCACAGGGAGTCGCACAAATCCCTATAGAACCAAATGGGAAGATACTTTTTATTGTAAGACTTCTTTAAAAATGAAAAGGTGTAAAAATGGCATATCATAAACCATAGATAGGCATGTGTAAGTTATATTTGTACCAGTCATTTGTTTGAGTGAGAGGAGAGTGAAATTTACTTTCTCTCTGCATGATATATTTTTTTAACAATTTGCCTAACTTGAACCAAGAAACTGCATTCATAGAGGGAGCTGCCAAAAATGCTAAGCTAAATTTCATCTCTGTCTCACAGGGTACGTCTACACTACAGCGCTAGTTCGAACTAACTTAGTTCGAATTAGTTAATTCGAACTAAGCTAGTTCGAACTAACGCATCTAGAACTAAAAACTAGTTCGAACTAGCGTTTTGCTAGTTCGAACTAGTAAGTCCACATTGAGTGGACTCTGAACAGGGCTTAAGGATGGCCGGAAGCAGTGCCGGCAGGGCATAAAAGGAGGACTTAGAGCATGGAGATGCTGTCTCAGGCTAGCCGAGGGCTGCGCTTAAAGGGTCCCGACCCCCACCCCGGACACACAGTTCTAAGGGGTGCCCCGCTTGCAAAGAAGTTCTGGCTTGGAGTGCCCTGAGTGCCCACACTGGGCACATCACACCACTCGGCCATCAGCCCGGCTGCACTTGCCGCAGGCTGCCATCTGGGGAGAGGGAGTAATTGGGGGGCTGCAGGAGAGCTTCCACCCCCAGAAGCCCGCAGAGCCAGCCCAGTCCTCCCCATCGGGGGCTCGTACCCCATTCCTCCCTCACCTCCTTCCACTTACCCTTCCCTAGCCCCCCTTCTTATTGATGTACAAAATAAAGATAACGTTTCTTCCAACATTGACTCTGTCTTTATTGAAAAAAACTGGGGGAGACTGGGAAAAGGAGGTGGGAGAGGGGAAGAGAAAGGCTGGGAGAGGGGAGGGCAACTAACATGATCAGGGGTTGGGTGTTCAAAGTCAATAAGCCTCCAGAACCTTTGTGATAGTTTAATGGTGCACAGAGCCTATAAAACTGCTAGGTTTCTCCATCTGGAGAGAGACCCAACTAGTACATAGCCAACATAGCTGCTTTCTGTGGGATCCCTATTGCAGCCCCCAAGCAACTATGGCAGGAGTGGAAGGAACATTGCTGGAATATTATTGCATGGAGAGTCATAGCCTGCTAGTGTTCTTTAGATCAGCTCTGAAGCTGCTGTAAAGTATGTCATGGCCTCAACTGGCATGCAGCTGGACTAAGCATCAGGAAGCCACTGCCAGCAGATACCAGCATCAGAGAACCTGACCCAATGGAGTTCTGTTAGAGTAGGGTAAGTGACGGTCAAAACCTCTGATTTTTAATTTCAAGGATGTGGCTTCACCTTCTGACCTCTACCACTCTCTGCCAACAAAGGATTTTTTGCAGTGTCATTTTAGCCTTCCTGGTGTCTGGATATTAGAGAGACACCACCTTTTTATTGAGGCAATACCTTTTATTGGAACAATTTCTTTTGGTGAGAGAGACAAGCTTTTGAGTTTATGGGGCACTCTTCTTTAGGTCTGGAAAAGGTACTCAGGGTGTCACAGTTAACTCAAAGTTGAGCACATTGTTATGCATAAGGAATTAACACATGTTGGAAAAGATCATTCAGGGTGAAGAGGGCCATTAATATCTCTGCAGTCCTAGAACAAAGGAGTATTATATAGTTACAGATTGTTATAATGAGCTGTAATCAGATGTCTTTACTGAGTCTATAACTTTTAGGGTATGTCTAGACTACATGCCTCTGCCGACAGAGGCATGTAAACTAGGCTACCCAACATAGTCAAAGAAGCCGGGATTTAAATATCCCTGGCATCATTAAAATAAACATGGCCGTCACGCTGTGCCAGCTCAGCTGATCGTCAGCACAGCACGCGAGTCAAGACGCAGATCGGTCGACAAAGGAAGCCTTTGTTGACCACTCCTGTAAACTTCGTTTCACAAAGCATAATGGAGCGGTTGACAAAGGCTTCCCTTGTCAACCGATCCACATCTTGACTCGCGCAATATGCTGACGATCAGCTGAGCCGGCACAGCGCAGCAGCCATGTTTATTTTAATGAAGCCGGGGATATTTAAATTCCAGCTTCTTTAACTATGTCGGGTAGCCTAGTTTACATGCCTCTGTCGGCAGAGGCATGTGGTCTAGACATACCCTTAGTGTCTAACAATGGGGTTATTTAAAACTCCCAGCCTCATCTTTTGGAGGTACTGTGCAGGTTTCTTTTGAGCGTGTCTCTTTCAGCAACAGAAGTTGATCCAATAAAAGATATCACTTCACTCAATTTGTCTCTCTTAGAGTGTATCTACACTGCACCCGTAGCTCAAAATAAGTTACGCGATTTGAGCTATGTAGCTTATTTGAGTGTATTTTGAAATAGATTATTTAGAAATTTGATGCTGTCTACCCAGTGCCAAATTTTGAAATAGAGCACTATTCTAAAACATTCCTTAATCCGCATGGTATAAGGTTTACCAGGATGTCAGAATAGCGTGCCCATACTTCGAAAGCTTTTTTGAAATAACAGGCACACTGTGAAGACGTGAACAATGATATTTTAGGATACCGGAAGTATCCCGAAATAGCACCGCTGTTAAAATGAACCCTTACAAAGGTTTTGTCCTTGGAGTCCTCCTTATTTCTCTGTTCATCTTGGCAGGGTTTCAGAAATTAAAGTGCTATTTAGGCTTACAAATAAATGGCCTGATTCGAAGTTCTGTGCACCCAATAGTTGCCACCAGGGCCAACTTATCCACAGTGCCTAGGGCCCAGGATACTTTTAGGGGCCCACAAAAACATTTTAAGTTCTTTTAAAATCAGAAGAAAAAAAATGAACTTTTAGGGTCGAAGAAAATGTTTTATTTTTTTCTCACGTCAGAAAAAAATGAAACTTTTAGGGCCCACGAAAATCTATTACTTAAATTTTGCTTAAAACAAAAAATGAAATGTTGAAGTATTTAAAGTTATATCAGAAGTAATTTTATATATATTAAAATATTATATAAAGCAGGGCCGCATTATGACTTTTGTGGGC